GCCGCCGGGGAGGGGAGGGGAGGGAGGGAAGTCCAAGCGGCTTCGCGGCCCTGGATTTCTCATATAACCTATGTCCGTCTATAGCGCTTCCTCGTCGTTCTTTAACGATCACGACTCTCCTTTGTATCTTCTTTTCCCTTGCGCGACACAAACGAGGTTTTATAGCCGGAAACTTACTGAATAGTTTCCAGCATATCCAACAGTTAGTTATCCTGAATTATTCTATAATTGTACTGCATTTTAGGAACAAAAAACGGAAAAAAAGGGGGAAATTGCGGTTTATCTCCTGATTAATTGGCTATTGACTGTTTATGGGGACGGCTTGCGCATCTGGTGTGGTGATATCGGTTGCCAAACAGCTTGGACTGTCAAGGTATCGAAGATAGCAAAATCAGAGGGTGAGTCCACGAAGTGATAAGGCCTCATGGGGTACTACAGTGATGCGCTGACCGCTCAGCCGCGGCCATGGACGCGCTGCTCTCCCAGTTGCCGGCCGCGGCCTGCCTTCTCCTCGTCGTGGTCATCTACCTGTTCTACCGCAAGCGCTACTCCTTCTGGCGGGAGCGCGGCGTGCCGGGCGTCAAGCCCCGCTTCCCCTTCGGCAACTTCGCCGCGGTCGCGCTGAGCCGCGCCAACCTCCTGCAGGTCATCTACAACCTGGCGGCCGCCCACCGCAGGGTCGGCTACTGCGGCGCCTTCATCTGGCACACGCCCGTGCTCCTCGTGTGGGAGCCCGAGATGATCAAGCAGGTCCTGAGCACGGACTTCGGCAGCTTCCACGACCGCGGGCGGCGCGTCGACGAGGCGGACCCGCTGAGCCAGACGCTGTTCAACATGAGCGGGCAGAGGTGGAAGAACCTCAGGAGCAGGCTCACGCCCGCCTTCTCGTCGGGCAGGGTCAGGAACATGCTCCCGCTGATGCTCGACATCGGCCGGGAGCTCGTCCGCCAGACGGCCCTGGAGGCCAGGAGGAGCCCGCAGCACACCCGCGAGGTGGACATGGGCCTGCTGCTGTCGCACTTCGCCACGGACGTGATCGGCTCGGTGGCGTTTGGCATCCAGTGCAACACGCTCTGCAGCCAGGAAAACAACGCGTTCCTCGCCATGTCCAAGAGACCCTTCAAGCAGTCGCCCCTCAGACTGCTCCGCCAGGGGCTCAACGCCATCCACCCGAAGCTGGGCGCGCTCTTGCCCATCAAGACGGTCTTCTCGGACGTGCACAACTTCTTCATCAACCTGATGAGGGACACGGTGGAGCAGCGCGAGCGGCACAAGGTGGTGCGCAACGACTTCGTGCAGCTCATGCTGCAGGCGCGCTCGGCCGAGCTGGCCGACGCCGCCGACGCGGACCCGGAGCACCACGTCGAGCTCACGCCCGAGGTGATGGCGGCGCAGGGCTTCAACTTCTTCATCGCGGGCCTCGACACCTTCGCGAACACGGTCGGCTTCACCCTCAACAGGCTGGCCGGCGACGAGGAGCTGCAGGAGCGGGTGGCGGCCGAGGTGCAGGAGGTGGCCGCCACGCACGGCGGCGAGCTGTCGTACGACGCGCTGCAAGACATGGACCTGGTGAGGCGCGTGGTGCTGGAGGGCCTCCGCCTCTGGTCGCCGCAGGCCGTGTTCCTGCGCACCTGCACCGCCACCACGCGCGTGGGCGAGCTGACCGTCGAGAAGGGCCGGGGCGTCCTGGTCGTGGGCAGCGTCAACAACATGGACGAGGACATCTTCCCGGAGCCCGCGCGCTTCGACCCGGACCGGCACACGGCCGCGAACAGGAACAACAGACACCCCTACGCCTTCCTGCCCTTCGGCGAGGGCCCGCGCGCCTGCATCGCGGAACGCTTTGCCCTCCTGGAGATGCAGCTGGCGCTGGCGGCCCTCCTCCGGGACCTGCGCTTCTCGCCCGGCCCAAACTACGAGAGGGAGGTCCAGCTCGACACGAGGAGTATATTCCACTCTCCAAAGAACGGCTTCCTCCTCAAAGTCGACCCGCGGAATTAGACATTAGACTATGCGCGACGCTGTTCGGGTTTATCTAGGAACTAAAGTTGTTGATTCACGCTGTCAACGCGGAATAAATTTGTAAGAGTTGACGTAAGTAAATCTGTAGTTTGCTCTTAAGCTGCATCCAATCGTGCTCCATCACTCTTTTAATCAGTTCCAGATTCATTTTCCCATTCAGTTCCACGTGCCTCTGGTGCGTAAAGTCGAGGTGCAACTGACTCACGCCTTAGTTTCACTTCTCCGCTAGAGTCAGTTTCAGTTTAGCTCACGTCCAAGGAATATTTTGTGATATTTTACAGCCGTCGCGCCTCGTTGTCTCCACGGTAACGTCACTATCATACTTTTCGTGTCGCGTGTCCACCGCATTCTCTATCGGAATAGCTACGGAATGCGTCACGGCCTGTTTAACAACGTATCCATGTCAACAAGGCAGAGAGGAGTGGGGCGGCGAAGAGTAGTATTAGCGGGAGAGGGCAACCCTTTCAGGAGGAAAAGAAAGATGGGAGGGAACCTTGGGACCATTGAGACGCCTCCAGTCAAAAGACGTGCATAGAGGGGGCGGCGAGACCTCGGCTCCTCACTCTCGTTAAAAGAATCATGAAACATTAAACAGCTCCTCCCCCCC